AAAAAGAAAAAAAAAAGAAAGAGAGCATAGACGGAAATAAGATTGTTTAATTATTTGTAAGAGAAGTTATTTGATAAAACAGCAATGTGGACATTGAGGAGGAATTATCACTAACAAATTCATACTAAACTGTCTGGTTGATGCACTTAAATTTCATGTTCAGCTTGAAGATCAAACAATTGGACAATAAGCAGATGAGTCTTAATAGTGTTGCCTGTCATGTATGATCAACCTTTGACAAGTCTATCAGTTGTGTTATTTTAAGATGCTTTCTGTACCTGCTATTTTTACTTGGTGTTTGGTTATTTTTTACGGAAGTGTTAGTAAATTGAAGCATGAAGGTATTTTACTTTCAGGATTTTCTTTCTCGGTAGTATTCTGAGGTTGAAATATCATAACTGGTAGAGGGACTATTTTGTAGTTTCATTAATATGTTTGTACAAACAATTTGTTGTTATTGCATTATATCTTTAGAAAGTCTAAAAGCTATATGATTCCATAAATTCATTAATGTCGATCAATTGTTATGTCACTGGTTTTTATTCATATTCTGTTATGGATTCATTGTTATCCACAGACCCTACTTACATGATTCGAGCGATTCCAAGCAACGCATCAGATAACATCTACTGTACACTTCTTGCACAAAGTGCTGTCCATGGAGCGATGGCTGGATTCACAGGCTTCACTGTTGGACCTGTAAACAGCAGACATGCTTATATTCCAATTGACGTAAGCCTATTTGTGCATGTATTAATTTCTTGAATTGAAGTTAAATGATGATTGGAGTAGAATGGATAAAGAGGATTCATATATGGCTGACACCAACTAATTTAGGATGGAGATGTACTTGATTGATTGAAGTTAATTGATATACTTTTGTCCTGCTGGAAAAGCATGCTGTTAGGCAACATATATAATTATTCTGCTTCAACTAGGAAATTTGTTATCCAATATGTTTGCCTGTCCATGGATTCTTCTCACTCAATAATCTATACTTCTAACTTAGCTCATATTACTTGTCAATCAAAACCACTGATGCTTCTCCACTAACTTAATGAGGTGTATATTTCGAGTCCCGTAAGTCCCGGCGGATTCAATAAATATATCACTTTATCTCTCCATTTTCTGTGAGAAGGGGATAGGGAGCATAATTTTGTTCCCTATGGGAGATCTTTTTCCTTTTGGCTTCTCCCTCCTATACGGTAGGCAGGTGATTTATCAGCCTTTCTGTAGAAGTTCTTACAAATTTAGCTTCGGTTGTTGGTGGAATTAAACAGACACTTTGAAGCTTGTGTGCCAGATCATTTACAATTGAGTTTGCTTGTGGACAGTTAAAAGTTGTTCGTCCCATATAAACTTTTAAAATACTTTTCATACTTTGTGAGGTTTGCCGGTGTAATGTTTTTCTCTGATAAACTGTTTCTCCATGAAGATCTAATGTTGATGCCCTGACGTTCGATTGCAGCGTGTTACTGAGACTACAAACACTGTGAACTTGACAGGCAGAATGTGGGCACGCCTTCTAGCCTCTACTAATCAACCTAGTTTCATTCAAGACTCTCAGGCTGTGAGAGAAAGAGTTGATAAACAGACTATTGATGCAATTCACAATATGATCATTAACTCTACATAGATTATTTAGATTTCTAAACATTTTTATTTCCGAACCCATACGCGAAGCTTGTACTAGGTATTGATTTCAAGCCTTATTTGTTAGGAGCTGTTGTTGTGCAGTCCTAAAGAGGAAAGTGATTAACTATTTCTATATGTATCAAAATATCTATTGGATGGATAGTTATCTCCACACAGCTAATACCTTTTTTCTTTTTCGTTTTATCCTTTTTTTTCCTCCTTTTATAGGTCGGTAAATATTGTTCAATGCAGAGGAGCACTTCCGAGAAAATTAGTGTCTGCCTTTTCTTTTTACGTCACTTACAACCTCTATAATTCCTAGTTCCTATGTTGGAATCAATAAGTGCGTCTCATATGAGGTGCTTTCAGTCCCTCATTTTCCTTAAAAATCTTTTTTTCTTCTTTAAAAATATGAAGTCATTCTGTGAAATCTCGATGGACAGAATTGAGGCATTGAAGTATTGGTTGTTTTCGTTATACTCCCTGTATCTTGCAGGGCGGAGCTAGAGTTCTCGTTATTGGTTAAGTTACCCTATCTAAGATATAAAACTCACAAACTCAAAATTCTGATTCGCCTCTGTAACTTGATGATTCAGCATGACGCAGTTTTATATTTGGACTGCATGTGTTATGCTTTCTGTTTTGCAGAGTGAACTCTTCAAGTGTTTGATTCTTTATTGCTATCACATCTGTTACCTAGCTAGGATAGTATGAAGTAACTCTGGCTATATGTACAATTTGATACTTATTTCATCAAAAAATATCTTCAGATTTGCAGCCTGCAGGTATGTCTCACTGGGCCTTGCTAAAAGTGATGGACCTTTTTGTATTTTTGCGGCTGCTTCCCTAGATATCCAATAAATGGTTGCGAATGATGTAATATTATTTGTCTTGACAGAATTTATGGTGATTGGTGATACAACAACAGATGCATTGGCCCATGCAAGGGATGTTGAGACAACAGCTTTGCAACTAGTTTGAAAAGGGCATCCCCACTCCTGCAAGTAGAAGATTATTGTATGGTTAATTTCTAGTGGTAGTTTCCTATCTAGTTTTGTCTAATTAATTATTGTCTTGGTAGCCTCAGACAACTTGTAAAGCTTTGTCTAGAAACAGAAATATATTACAGTGTTGATCCATAAACACAAGTATGTAACCCTCGATAATTCAGTAGCGGTGGCTTGCCTATGGTAGATAATATATAGTCATTCATGAACCAAAATTAAAAGGGGTGGGTCTATAGTCTATACACCTCAACATCAAGCATCTGGATATTTTTTTCTCTCACCAATGCCTTGACCATCTCATCTCCATAGGAATTACATTTTCTAGATGTCGAAGAAAATAAGTCCGCTGTGAGTTTGTAAATCTTTTTAGAAACTTATACTATATCAGTTGAAAATATAGCTAGAGAACTTCTAGTGCTTAGATTAATACGAGTTTAAATTGAGTGACATCAACAATGATGATTCATGTTACCATTCTCAATTGGCGTGATTGAGGAGTAGTTGTTATCGTATTATGTTTTAGGAGTACCAGCATCATAGAATTCAAGAGGGTGAGTCATATATTTCATGGAGCTGCTCTTCAGATTTTCAAAGGTTGGAATTGACAAGTTTCAAAACGTGGGATTGAACCTGCCCTTAGGCTCTATACTGTGGAGAATTTATAGCTTATTTTGACACTAGAACCACTTTAATAAATTTAAAGAGTCCTTTAAGTAATATTTTGTGAGTTGATGAAAACGTACGAAGACTGAAGATCGAGTAGTTGGATTTGCTGGGTAGCAGAATATCCAAACATCTCTCCTTACTTACCTTTTCTCGATCCCCTTCCAAATATCTCCTTTATCTGCTACCAAAATTCTCTCATCTTTAAAATTTTTCCACTTTTCTATTTTGATTTCGTCCTCTATTACGTAACATGACTACATTTTTGTCAATGTTCTTCCAGAGGTGCGCTGATACTTTTAGATAGTTTACGTTTTCAGTTTGTATGTTAACATTTTATCGACGCAAAGTATGACATATTGCTTTCCAAAAAGAAAAGCAATTAAGTTAGTAGGACACTATTGCTGAGCACTTAACTGTCTCATTTTGCATAATTATTTATTACTACTATCATTTTGAGGCTATTCTTCTTTCAATAACATTTAAGTATTTTTAGTTATACAGGTTATGATTTGAAGTACTTTTTGTGTAATTTTAAATGTATAAACTTTATTCTAAAACTTTAAATGTATATATAGTTCTCCCAACAATTATATATTTAACTATCGCACTTTGAGTTTCATCATTTCTATTAATTTGTTTCCAACAGAGGGATTATCTAGCAAGATATTCGGAGTCTGATGTAACTTGCTTGGCATTTAAGATGTTTTTAGCTATTAGAATTATGACTTATGAGTACCTTTTTGTGTCATTTTTAAATATATAGATCCTATTTTATGAAATTCAAGAATAAATGTCAGATTTCATGAAAGTTAGATACTTTTGCGATCACAGTTCAAATTTCGTCATTCTACTTTTTGGGTCAATTTAAACTTGAAAATTGTGGCATATCTTTTTTGAAAATTCAAAATTTGTGCTACAACAAATCAATAATCTTTTTTAGCGTTCCATCTCATAGTATTATGCCTTTTTCTTTACTGCCCTTTGTTCCAATGGAAAAATTATAACTGAAAAAGTTTACAGTTACATAATACCTTCTTGGGAAAACATTGTATAATGTACACTTGTATTTAATCGGAGGTCCTCGAAGGGATTGTAATTAGAGGTATATATGAGCCGGGTTGATTCAGTTTTATCGAAACCAAACCAAATTAACTATGTCAGTTTGGGTTGGTTCAATTTTGTCGGTTTTTTCGGATTTTTGAATCTTTTTGTTACATGAATATTATTTCAATCTTACTTTGCAGAGTTATAAATCATGTTTTGATAAGTGAGTGTATGTTCAGAAAAAATTAACAAGCATATGATCTATTAAAATATTCTTATAGGAGATTTTTTTAGTAACACATGATATTTATTTTCTTATTCTAAAAATAATTTTTCGTTGATGTACGCTTTCAAACTTAACCAAGTTAATTAAATACAAAAATCAATATGAGACCTAAATAATGATATGTTCTATTTAATTTTAAAAATTACCAATAAAATACTATATTTCAAATTCGAAAAAATAGAAGAGTTTAACCGATCTTAATATAAGAATACGGAAGAACAAAGAGATTGACGTTTTTCAGTAACACCTGCTATGAAAGTGATAATACAAGTTAGAATCAACCATTATTTAAAGTAAATAAAATAGATGCACTTTATAATTTTATGAAATATTACATCTATGAGAGTATCACAATATTTAGATATTTTTAAAGAAAATTCTATATGAATATATAGGATTGGTTCGGATTCTCTTAACTCAATAACAAACCAAACCTAATCGATTTGGTTTGATGTCATTTATTGGTTCGATTTGAATACTCCTAATTATAATATACACTTGTACAAGGAAAAAAAGAAACAAAGTGAAGGAAAAAAAAAATGGAAAAGGAAAAAACCGACAAAATATGAACAGAAAAACCAACTATATTCGGTTTGGTTAAATTTTATTAATTTAATAACCATAATTGATTTAGTTTTATTTAATAAAAAATTCCTTTAAGCTGAATTATATACACCCTTACTTATGGCCTATCCTTTTTGTCCTCTTCCGGCCAATGTTCGCCGGCGGACTTAAATTTCCGGCATCGAATGGAAAATTCAAAATGGCTTTTCTTCCCCTCATCTTAAAAGCTGCACAATCATAAGCTCTCGCAGCGTCCACGTCGGTCTCGTAAGTTCCAAGCCAGACCCGCGAACCTTTTCGGGTCGGGTCTCTTATCTCCGCCGCATATTTTCCCCACGGTCGCCTCCTAACCCCTCTGTAGTGCTTCTTCTTTCCATTCTCCACCACTGAAGACCCGTAATCCGACCCGTCCACTTTTTTATCCGTTCTGTTCAAACTTGAATCATCAAATATTCTTGTGTTGGAAACAACAGAAGTGGTAACCGATGTTGGGCATCGAATGATATTGGGCTTAGTCTCAAACTCGGAAAAATTATTGTCAAGATTAAAATGGTTGGGTTTCTGATCAGAGGTTAAAATTACGGGCTGGGAATCGTCGGGAAGAGTGGAGAAAGAGAAGTCATGATGAAGGCTAAGGCTGTTGACGAAGGACTCAGTAGAAGTGAAGTCTCCGAGGAGGTGTTGGCTTATCAGTTCCAACGTTAATTCCTCGTCTTCTGTCCTTGTCATTATATAATGTCTTACAATTTGGTGAGTGTAGTTAAAGAGAAAGTAAGAGAACAGAAGAGTGAGTTATTGGAGATGGAGAAAGGGAGTGTATATATAGGAGTTTGTGACTTAGGGTGCATGCAAAATGCAACTGCTCATGGGGTGCATGCAATGCAATGATGCATATAAACCCGTATCAAATCGAAAAGTCAAATTACCAAATCGATTAAAAAATCCGTTGAGGTTTGATTTGATTTGGTCAGTATTAAGTAAAAAAATCTGAACAATCGATATATAAATATATAATTTTTATATATACTTCTAAGACTTTATTTACGATTTTCTTTAAAAATTGTCTAGAAATATATGAGCTTTTCTTATGAGATGTAATATTTAATAGAATATGAAGTGCTTCATTTTTATTAACTTTAAATGATGTGTTGTATGATCGTTCTTATCAAGTGTTATTGAAATGCGACAATCTCTTTGTTCTTCCATATTAACATATCAAGATCTATTAAATTCTTATATCTTTTTCGAATTTGAAGTGGTATTTTGATAATTAAAAATTAAATAGAACATATCATTATTTAGGTATCATATTGATTTTTATATTTAATTATTAAATTCGGTTAACCTTGAAAGTGTACATCAACGAAAAATTATTGTCAGATAACTTAAAAAGTAACTATCATGTGTTACTAAAAAAAATTCTCCCCTAAGAAAAGTTTTAATAGATCATATATATTTTTTTTAAATTTTTATTAAACATATATTTACTTATCAAACATTTAACAAAATAAGATTGATATAGTATTCATGCAATAAGAAAACCCGAAAACCCCGAAAAATTCGACAAAACTAACCAATCCAAACCGATATAGTTGGTTTGGTTTTGTTTTAATAAAAACCGAACCAACCTGATTCATGTACACCCTAGATGCAAGATAGAAGAAAAAATTAGTATTTTTTTCGTCCTAATTTATGTGATGGTGTTTGTCTAACTAAGCATAGAGTCTAAGAATGAAAAAGAAAGAATTCGGAAACTTGTAGTCTAAAATAAGTTATATATATTTATGTGACTATAAATTATTCCGTCAAAAGTAAATAAGAAGATTGGAGTTAAATTGTTTTAAATATTTCAAAGGTCATTCTTTAGGACTGACCAAAAGGGAAAAATTGTCACATAACGGAGAGAGTAATATTAATTGTATATGTGTACACCACATTTAAGGGGAAAAACACTTAATAGAATATAAGATTTCAACATATCATTTACTATTATTTTTCAATTTACCAACTCATTTAATGCGAACAATTATTTTCAATTGGGTTTCAAATAATTTGATTTTACATTGTTGTGAATCAATTAGGTATTGGGCAAGTACCAAGTACCAAGTACCAAGTTGGAGCCAGGAGGCATGCCTTCTCTCTCGATCTCTTCTTTTCTATTATCAATTTGGAAGCGGCTGTAGGACCTAATAATTCCTCATCATATATGATAATATTTCCATCAAATTGAGCAGTCCCCAGGCCTTAATTTAGGAATTAGCTAGAAAAGATAATTAACAAGTATTTTGAGATATACTAGTAATTACTTAATTACTATAGTTAATTATTTAGAACTGGGTAAGCTTACATTTCGATTGCTTAACTAAGCACATATCACTAGGTCAAAAAGATTTTTGGTTGATTTAATTCCATAAATCCAAGTGAATTCCATTGTTTAGGAATAGGATTACTACTGAAACATGCCGCCAACAATATATCTAAGATTTAGTCGTACACTCGTGCCACAAGTTTCCTTTCGATTTGCGCACTTAAGTCAAGCCGAGAACAATCAACACCATAAATGAAAAGGGCAAAAGATATTTCATGCACAGTTTCTTTTGAATTAGGGAGCCGTAGAGAGCTATCTTAGTGGCAGTTGTATACTAGCTAGTATCATTAATCTTTTCGAACTCAAGGTCCATGCATCCCAAATGAACAACTTTCTCGTTTGGGAGAACTATAAGTCCTTCCAAGACTTATAGTACAGTAATTATCATCACTCAAATAGGAAATTTCAAAACCATTATTAAAAATATCATTAATGCTGAAAATATAACAATCATGCATGCTTCTATTTCACAAATTAATATATAGGCGCATCAAGATCCATATAAGTTATTATATACATGCCAATGGACGTCATATCAAAAATAAACACGAATCAATGTGTTGTTAAAATTAATCTACCCGTCGATAAACAATTTTTCGATGTATTAACTTCTATCATGTAAATAAATAAAAAAAAGGTAATTTTACTTAAAATGTGGGAGCAAATCAAGAATAAAAATTTCTTCTGTTCCATTCCAATTAAATAAAAAAATATAATAACCTTTCTATGGGGGTTAAAGTTAGTATTTTTTACGCTTAACTAGAATTTATGTCAAGATTTGCCCCAAGTCTGATATATGAAAAACATAGGCAAAATATATACTTTACCCGTCGACCTTGTCCCCAAATCCGTCTACACATCTGTTAAAGACGGGAATAATATTACACATCAAAACTTTAAAGGTGTGTCAATTACACACCACTTCGGTGTTTGACCACATCTACTTAAAAATTGCTATTACATGTGCCAATCAGCATCTGACACGTGTCATAAATCGGAAAAGAAAAGAAAAACTGAAAAAAAAACTCTACCCCCCACAACTCCACCCCTCTCCTCGTCTTCCCAGAGAAAAAATACAGAAAAGAAAATACCCCACCCTCTCCTCATCTCCTCAACTCCATCATCTTCTCCACCATCACCATATTACCACCAACTCTTCCACTACAAGCACCTTCTTCCGTAACTATAGATTCAACTCTTTGCCCGATTTTTAACAAGTTTTAATAACATCCATCACAAATCTTATTACAAATTTCAAATTCAAGCTCAAACCCAAAGCTTCAAACTTGGTAATGGTATTTTTTGAATTTTATCAAAATTAATCACCTAAGTAAATTTTTATTCAACAATAATCACGAATTCAAACTAATTTTCTAGGTCATGGAACACCAAAATCAACAAGACCCGATTAAATTTAATTTCAAACTTTTCAAAAGATCAATAATGGTAATTTTTACAAGACCCAATAGCTCCTCTTTTCTTCTTCTTTTTCTTTTTCTTTTTTTTTTCTTTTTCTTCTTAGTCATGGGGGTTGGAGAGACGAAACATGAGGAATAAACAAAATTAGGATGGAGGTTAGGGAAGAAGACGAAAGGTGTGTGGGGGGTGTGGGGGTAGAGAACGCTGGAGTGTTGGTTGGGGAAGAAGACATGGGTTATTTGTTTTCTTTAATTTGGAAAGAAAATAGTTAAAAAAATGGAAAAAAATTAATTTCAGATGAATTTTGTAGTTTTCACGCGCCCCTTTTTATGTAATACACGCGTGTGACACATGGCAAAAGAGGTGTGTAATTGACACACTTTTAAAAGTTTTAGTGTGTAATACCATTCCCGTATTTAACATGTGTGTAAGAGGAATTTGAGTATAAGGTCTATGGGTAAACTATGTATTTTGCCAAAAACAAGATTATACTTTAATGTATAGTTGCATGATTGGTGATGTGACTACTTCTTAATTATACTAGCATACATATTACATGACATTACGAGCTTGTTTGGAAAGCCACCTTGGAAATGAGTTTGGGTGTAATTACATAGTTTGGCTTGTTCGTTTGGCCAATTAATTACTTGGTCAGCATGAAATTGGGTGTAATTGGAAGGGTGTAATTACACTCTCCAATTCTCAAGGGGAAGGTGAGAATTGGTGGTAATTACAAAGTTGCTTTTTAGTTTCTTTCCTTTTTGTTTTTATATTAATTTATTTTTATTTTTTAATTTTGTTTTTATTTTTTAATTACTTTTGAAATTTTAAAATATATTTTTCTTTGTACATTATTTATGTTTTATTTCTCTATCTTTACTTCTTATGATTCCATGTAATTGCTTATATTTTATTTTTTGTTTATTTTATTATTCTATTTTTTGAAACTACAACACCTAATATTAGAAATAATGAGTTATTAATAAACTTGGCATATAATGAGTGATGTAATTAAAGTGGAATTTCGTTGTTGAATGTGGTTATAAACTTATCATGTTTCCTAACTATTAAGTTGCACTAGAAATTACTATTATTATGTTGGAATTTGACATATATTAAAATATATTTTTCTTGAATTTTGAATTGTGTTATATTCATGGTTCCAATTTACTTGTTTTAATAGTATTCGCTCACATTGCATATTGTTCATTTTTTTAGTTAGAATTGATATATTAGTTTTGTCAAACATTTGAATAATGTTATGATATTATATTTATAAATATTAATTTATTTTATCAAACATGAATTCCATGATGTTCTTACAGAACATATATTTTTAATTTTTGTAAGTATCTAAACTAAATATTATTAATTTAAAATATATAAAAAATTAATTTTACAATATTAGTTATAAATATATGATTACTAAATTAATGTATATTCACGAAAAATATATATCTTAAATACAAAATATAATAATTTAATCTAACCGTATAATTACATTGTGCAACCAAACAGTAAACTTGTAATTGCATTATAACTAGTATTAGTACCCGCGCGATGCGTGGATAATTAAAAAGAACGATCTACACCATAAAGTTTAATATGTTAGTGTTAATTCCATCTTTACAACCAAACATTAAAAATATTTTAAGACTCTAGTAAAACTTTCATTCCATCTCCTAATAAATATTCCATAAAAAATAATGATACTATACAATTTGTTTGATATGAATGTTCCACAAAAAATAATGATGCTATACAATTTGCTTGATATGTAGCACGTGCCTAAGAGAATATTTTTGTAGCAAATGCTCATGACATATTGCAGTGCATTTTCCAGAAGTTGTCCTTTGTATTGAGGTTTATCACTACAAAAAAATATGGGTAAAACTCAAGAATTTCTGGTGAACCCCTGTCACTAACATTTTGAAAAATTGAAAACCTAATTATGCATAAGACACCTTACATTTCCTAATGCTTGTATTGAAAGTACG